TAATAAACAATAACAAAAACAATAACAATAATAGAATTAGAAATTTGTTTATAAAATAATTATAAATATTCCCAATAATTCAAAATAAAATTATTTTTTCTATAGTAATAATAAAAAAATCGATTCAAATGATAACTCATTACTCATTTAGAGATCAAATAAATATCACTCAAAATTTTAAGAATGTTTGGTTTCTTCTTAAGATTACTTTTGTAATACTTTTCAAATTTTTTGTATAAAAACTAAACTAAAGTATTTAAATTTCAATAATTTTTTAAAAAAAAAGAGAAAATGAATTACAATGACGATGAATAAGATGATCTATTTGAGATTTTCTATTAGCTTAAAGATATTGACGAAGCAATATACGGTTTGATAATTTAATTGTTTAGAAAGGAGAATATTGAAGATTGTGTAGGATTTCTTTCGGGAAATGAAAATCAAAGACATTTTGAATAATACATTTTTAAAGAAAAAAATTAAACACAAACTGAGGAGGAATAAAGATTCTATTTAGTTAGCAATAATATTATACAAATTACAAATGCAATTAAAAAAATAAAGGATCATGACTTTAATAAATAAAATTATTCTGAAGAAATTTACATAGAATTCAATCAAAATTTAATTAAAAAAATATCCAAAGCTTTATAGATCACTCAATTTTTAAAATTTTTCGTCTTGCTCACAGCTATCGACAGCGCTTTTGTTTAATGCGGATCAAATTCATTGAATTTATTAATCTAGATGAAAGTGGACCTTAGAAACTAAAATTTTGAAAAAATCAGAATTTAGAATGTTTCTTTAGTAGGAGCTAATTTTGCAAGATGCAATTTAAGTGAATCCCAATTTGAAAATGTAGACATAAGTGGAATAAATTTAAGTGGAGCTTTGTTATTTAATTGTAAATGGAAAAACTTAAGAATACATGAGCTAAATAAGTTGGATGGTCATATTCATAATGTCTACTCAGTCAGTTTCTCTCCTGATGGCACTACAATAGTATCTGGTAGTGCTGACTAGTCTATCCGTCTATGGGATGTGAAGACAGGAAAATAAATAGCCAAATTGGATGGTCATACTTTTTGGGTTTATTCAGTATGCTTTTCTCCTGAAGGCACTAAAATAGCATCTGGTAGCGCTGATAATTCTATCCGTCTATGGGATGTAAAGACAGGAAAATAAACAGCCAAATTGAATGGCCATAGTTAATGGGTTCAATCGGTATGCTTCTCTCCCGATGGTATTTCTTTAGCATCAGGTAGTGCAGATAAGTCAATTCGTTTATGGGATGTTTAGACAAAGAAAAAAAAAATCAAACTAAATGGTCATATAGAAGGAGTCAGATCGGTTTGCTTCTCACCTGATGGTTATACATTAGCATCCAGTAGTGATGATTAGTCTATTCGTTTATGGGATGCTAAGACAGGAAAACTATAGACCAAGTTGGGTGGTCATACTAACACTGTCTACTCAGTATGCTTCTCTCCTGATGGTTCTACATTAGCATCTGGTGGTTATGATAAGTCTATTCGTTTATGGGATGCTAAGACAGGACAACTATAGACCAAGTTGGATGGTCATACTAACACTGTCTACTCAGTATGCTTCTCTCCTGATGGTACTACATTAGCATCTAGTAGTTATGATAGGTCTATTCGTTTATGGAATGCTAAGACAAGACAATAATAGACCGAATTGTATGGTCATACTAACACTGTCTACTCAGTATGCTTCTCTCCTGATAGTAATACATTAACATCTGGTAGTAATGATGCGTCTATTCGTTTATGGGATGTGAAAGTCAGGATATTAAATAAAGTCAATTTGGATGGTCATCCAAGTAATGTTTGGTCAGTATGCTTTTCTCCTGATGGTACTACATTAGCATCTGGTAGCAACGATAAGTCTATCATTTTATGGGATGTTCAAACAGGATTGAAAAAGGGAAAACTTTATGGTCATAGTTATGGAGTCCGATCACTGTGCTTCTCTTCTGATGGTACTACATTGGCATCTGGTAGCGACGATAAGTCCATCCGTTTATGGGATGTTAAGACAAGATAATAAAAGTCTAAATTTGATGGCCATTTTAGTTTTGTCTGGTCAGTATGCTTTTCTCCTGATTGTACTACATTAGCATCTGGAAGTGATGATAGTTCTATTCGCTTATGGGATGTTACAACTGGATAATAAAAGGGCAGGTTGGATGGCCATAGTTCAAGTGTCTGGTCAGTCTGTTTCTCCCCTGATGGTAATGAATTAGCATCTGGAAGTAATGATAGGTCTATTCTTTTATGGGATTTCAAAACAGGATAATAAAAGGCCAGTTTGAAGGGTCATACTAATTCTGTCTACTCAGTATGCTTCTCTCCTGATAGTAACACATTAGCATCTGGTAGTTATGATAATTCTATACGTTTATGGAATGTTAAGACAAGATAATAAAAAGCTAAATTGGATGGCCATAGTAGTGGAGTCATATCAATATGCTTCTCTCCTGATAGTACTACATTAGCATCTGGCAGTTTTGATAATTATATACGTTTATGGGATGTTAAGACAGGATTATAAAAAGAAATTTTGGATGGTCATAGTGTAAGTGTCTGGTCAGTTTGCTTCTCCCCTGATGGCTATACATTAGCATCTGGCAGTTATGATAATTCTATACGTTTATGGGACATTAAATCAAGGCAATAAAAGGTCCAATAGGATGGTCATAGTAATGATTTCAATTCAGTTTGCATCTCTTTTGATGGAAATACATTAGTCTATCAAAACAGCAGCAATGATCCTGACTAGATATTCAAAGATATTATAGTATAATAGAAGCCTCCCCTATCTAAATATAATTCTCTTTCAGAAGGTAATATTAAAATCCATTATTTTAAGCCTAAAATAATATTACTATTCTCCTTATTTCCTAATAACCAATATTTTTATCATAAGGAGCTTTAGTTCTTAATGGAGAATTTTTCAATTACAATGGTTTCGATTTAAGGCCTTTTTTAGAATCTAAAGGAAGTTGCATATTGGAAAACTATAAACAAATTAAAAAAAAGAGTAATGAAAATGATACAATAATATGAAAATTATATATAAAATAAAATTAATCATTTAAAAAAAATTTAATTTAGATTGTTGATAACTCATTAAATTAAGGAATGGAACAAATCAGAACCTCTGAAATAACAGAGCTTACCTTTGAAAACAGGAATAATATTGGAATTAGAGTTAACAGTTACCCATTCTGACTAATACTGTTAAGAAGTAAAATTTATTAGCTAAGGAACTTTAACAAAAATAAAAAATTTTAATCAAGTTTATAGATGTAGTTATTAAATTAATCAATAGATAATGATTAATTATTATTAGATGTATTTTTTCTTATTTATCTTTACTTTTTCATTTATTTTTCATTAATGTTACATTTTAATTAAAAATTTGATTTCCATCATCATTTAAATTCAGATCAGGTAATTGTTTTGAAGGCAATATTCACTCTCATACATCAGTAGATTATGGTTTATAAATAATTTTCGATGTTACCACTAAAATGCAGATGTAAAAATATTCCATAATGAATTCTAGCTATCTCCAATAACTTCTTGCTTTAAACTATCCATCTAACAACACAAATATTAAGGATAATAGAATTATTTAAATTCAGTGATAAATAGTCATAATATATAAAAAGTCAATTAAATTATACTTTTCATTATGTTTGTAAATCAATCTAGATACTTTGCATTATTTCTATTATTCTTCAATTCATTTTTAGCCATTTCTAATTTCTCCTTAAAGTTTATATGTTAATTTCTATTTGAGAAAAATCAGATATATAATATTGCCAATAGAAACATGATAAAAATGATATAATCTTATTTCTGATAAAATTAAAAAATTTACAAAGAGGAAGGAACTAAGAGTGTAGTAAAAACGAAGCCACGCACAAAAGATCAATTATAAATAAAATTATAAAACGAATTAAGTAATATTAATAGAAAAGAGAAAAAGACAGAATTAATTAAAAAATACTGAAAAATTGAAGCAAAAACATTTGAAGCTGAAGCTTTAAAAGAAAATATTGCTGATCATAGATAATTTTTCTTTTTCATATAACAGAAATCATTGTGTTCTTATACCTACATGTTTAGAGGATAAATAACAAATAAATGAATTGATCAGGTTTAAATAACCAGATACTTTCCGATATATATTGGGAAGAGACTTTAGGATCATTTGTAAAGAATGAGTTGTTAGGGCTACATTATTGCAGAAATTGGAGGAGATGACTTTTTGTGTTTCTAAATTATACAAGAGAATGGAAAGGCATATTCTCTATAGTAGAATCAATGCAGCTTCTAATTAAAAAATATAATATTTATTACTAATGAATTTGATTAACATATGAAATTTAATTATATTGATATTTTAAATAATAAGTAAATGTATCTTAAACCTCATAAATATGGTTGACAGGGATTTATTTTTTGGTTAAATAAGCAACCTTTAATATCTTTTAAATTAGTACAATCAATAATTTAATTATATGAAGCCATTAAATGTTATGATTAAGCTTTAAAGATAAATCTCAATAATTGTGATGAATTTAATTTTAAATTATTGGAGTTCTTGAAATAAATATAATTGAAATGATTCAAGAATTTTAATATTTGAAATATCGAAGAAAATCAATTTGAAGTATTTGAAGAAGCCATTGAATATTATGATAAATCTATATTCATCAATCTTAATGATCATGATGCTTATAAAAATAAGGGTAAATGAGATATTTCTATCAATTTTAATTAGGTTAAATAAAAATATCTTCAAATTGAAATATCAAGATATTTGAATGAAATCACTACTATTAAGTAATTGAACATAATGATAAGGTTTGACAAATCAAAGTTAATGCTTATATTCCTATTCATTTTACATGGATAGGAATATTACTGTATTCAAAAATTATTTTAAGATCAAATAGGCTATGATGATGTTTTGTAGATAAATCTTAGTGAATATGATACATTAGTAATTAATAATCTTTACTCATAATAAACATAATTATATTCTAAAATGAATAAATAAACTAATTTACTAGTAAATTTGATGTCATTTGCTATTTAAATACAAAATAGATTGGTGTTATTATTATTATTTATGAATTAAATATTTAATTAATTATTGATATCCATTTTGTATTAAAAATATTTTCAGTTTATATATCATTGATTTGATTTATTTAAAGTGTTGATTAAATCATAATAATTAGTATGAATCTTAATAAAAAATATGATCGTAATATAGCAGGATTGAGACAGTTGTAAATCTACTTTGCTGATCTTCTAATGATCCAACCTACTAGTATAAATGTGGAGAAATTCCTCATAGATTATTTCTTGAAAATAGATCATCAATCTTATAGAATTTCTATTTTTATTCAAAATCATTTTTATTTTATTTATATTGATAATTTATAAATTAATTTTATCAATTATTTGATTCTTCTTTTTTGCAAAATATTTTAATATTAACCTATGCAGCAAAAAACTAACTACACTACAAATAACAACTTGACTAAACCCAATACTAATAAAACTCAATCCAATTTAGGTAAAATCCCAAAACTTACTTTGGTAGCAACCGTATAAGAAGAAACTGAAAAAGTCTAAGCCAAAAAGGATAAAAATGATAAATAACTGGATTCCCAACGCTGTATTTATTTGCCACAACTAAAATAGTAGCCTTTGCCAAACATATGGTACATGCTGATATCTAAGGGATCAAATCAAGAGAAGGCAATTTGAAGATTCCTAAATAAACTCTCCAAATATCATACCCTTAAGAGTAAAACCACCTACAAAAATTTTTTATTTTTTAGACCATTTTATAATTTCAATTTTTAATTTCAGTTCTTAGCACATGTCATATAAATCATGGAGGGAACTTATCTATATTTACTCAGAAGGGAAATAAACCCATTATATATAATGATTGTAAACTTCTTGTAAATATGCTTTCATCACTTTAATTCCATATAAAGTAGAGTTCTACTAGTATCGCACCAGCTGCAATAATTCAATTTACTAAGGGAATTAAATTAATTATAGATATACATGTAATAATTATTGCATTATCAAATATTTCCCATATACTTTACTATTTGGAACATCTAATAATTTCGCAAATAATAATATCAGAATGATGGATTTTTTAAATCAATCAATGCAATTTATTAATTAATGTCATATACATTTAATTATTCACAATATTTTAAGATGAATTTATCAAAATTTTTGCTGTTTAAAGAATGCTTTATATCCAACTCTTTCAGTTGCTTAATTATTATATCTTTAAGATTTCATTAATATATTTTTTGACAAATCAACATAATGAATATAAGAATGGCTAACTAAATTATACTTCTTGTGCTATGAAAATTAATCATATTTAACTTGAACAGTATATATTTTGTAGAACTAATCTTATTGATATATTTGTATTGTTAATAATGATGTTTTTTTCCATCTTTAATAGTAAAACAGGTAATTCCTTCTTATAAATTTTACAATATATATTAACCCTTCTCTTCTGTTTTTACAATTATTTTATAATGAAGTGGAAAAATTTTACTTAACAATTCATTCATCCATTAAAATGAACTCTTTTAGTAGATTTACTTTTAGTTAAGATGATTATAATTGTCTTTTAACAACCTCGTTTGTTATATTTTAAGAAAGTTANATTTTTATTTTATTTATATTGATAATTTATAAATTAATTTTATCAATTATTTGATTCTTCTTTTTTGCAAAATATTTTAATATTAACCTATGCAGCAAAAAACTAACTACACTACAAATAACAACTTGACTAAACCCAATACTAATAAAACTCAATCCAATTTAGGTAAAATCCCAAAACTTACTTTGGTAGCAACCGTATAAGAAGAAACTGAAAAAGTCTAAGCCAAAAAGGATAAAAATGATAAATAACTGGATTCCCAACGCTGTATTTATTTGCCACAACTAAAATAGTAGCCTTTGCCAAACATATGGTACATGCTGATATCTAAGGGATCAAATCAAGAGAAGGCAATTTGAAGATTCCTAAATAAACTCTCCAAATATCATACCCTTAAGAGTAAAACCACCTACAAAAATTTTTTATTTTTTAGACCATTTTATAATTTCAATTTTTAATTTCAGTTCTTAGCACATGTCATATAAATCATGGAGGGAACTTATCTATATTTACTCAGAAGGGAAATAAACCCATTATATATAATGATTGTAAACTTCTTGTAAATATGCTTTCATCACTTTAATTCCATATAAAGTAGAGTTCTACTAGTATCGCACCAGCTGCAATAATTCAATTTACTAAGGGAATTAAATTAATTATAGATATACATGTAATAATTATTGCATTATCAAATATTTCCCATATACTTTACTATTTGGAACATCTAATAATTTCGCAAATAATAATATCAGAATGATGGATTTTTTAAATCAATCAATGCAATTTATTAATTAATGTCATATACATTTAATTATTCACAATATTTTAAGATGAATTTATCAAAATTTTTGCTGTTTAAAGAATGCTTTATATCCAACTCTTTCAGTTGCTTAATTATTATATCTTTAAGATTTCATTAATATATTTTTTGACAAATCAACATAATGAATATAAGAATGGCTAACTAAATTATACTTCTTGTGCTATGAAAATTAATCATATTTAACTTGAACAGTATATATTTTGTAGAACTAATCTTATTGATATATTTGTATTGTTAATAATGATGTTTTTTTCCATCTTTAATAGTAAAACAGGTAATTCCTTCTTATAAATTTTACAATATATATTAACCCTTCTCTTCTGTTTTTACAATTATTTTATAATGAAGTGGAAAAATTTTACTTAACAATTCATTCATCCATTAAAATGAACTCTTTTAGTAGATTTACTTTTAGTTAAGATGATTATAATTGTCTTTTAACAACCTCGTTTGTTATATTTTAAGAAAGTTATTCTTCGCTTAGTTAGTCAAGTATTTATTTTTAATTATATTAATTTATAGAAATTTTTATTTAATTCTGTTATTCAATTACAAAACATAATAGAATTATCTAAATATATTATCAACTTATTGATTCAATATTAAGAATTTTTATTACAGATTTTCTTAAGAATATAATGAATAGCATAATAAATAATTAAGTTATATTTTAATTAAAATTTGATGAAACCAATTTAATTATTTATACATTTAATAAAAAAACTTAACCTTAAATTTAATTTTTGTTCTACCCTGAGAATTTTAATTAATTAAGTAATGTAAATTCAGATATAAATAGTAATACTATAATATTTATATTAGCAAGCCTTCTCATATTTTGATTACCTTAAACCTCAATTATACTCCCTTATTAAACAATTTTCATTGCAAAATACATAAATATTCAATGAAAGAAACAGAAAATAAATGATCAATACCATATATCCGCACTTTTAAGATAGAAAAACCACTTTGCATGATTTTCTAATTGATTGTTGATAAAATTATATAAATTGTAAATATCTTTAATCTTGAAAAAAAAATTCTATACAGTTTCGAAGCACCTCAACATCTATTATTGGTAAGCATCAATCTTTGTATTTATTTTTCTATTATTTTCAATAAATTTATTAATAATTTCCTATCTATAATAAATTAACTTATTTATTATAGTTATGTATTCAAATTATTGGAATTTTGTAAACGGATGAATAAGCAAAAATATCCATTAAATCAATCTAATATGACCAATTTTAATTGTATTTAATTATCCTTCAATATTATTTTTGTTAAAGAAGCATATATAATTTAAATCATAATTTTGAGACCATAAACTGTAAAATATTGCATTGTTAAATTTTTGAAATGAAAGGCAAGATATACAATTTAATTAATCACTCGGAAAAGCAATAGAGGAGGTAACTGGGAATTTGTAATTCAAACACATTATCATCCTCAAATTTCTCTAATTTCTTTTTTAAAAAGAATCTTATAGTTTTATGAAAATTTTTGGGACGCTGAATCTTGTTAATTGGTTTTAATTTTCATCATTTACATATTAAAATAATAGTCTTTAATCTTTATTATTTTTACCTTTATAATTCCTTTTTTTTTTAACCAATACAAAATGAGATTACTTCCTCTTAATACAGATTTAATGGGAAAGATGAAATTCTAAGTTTGTGATTTCTGGTACCCTAAAAATTTTTTTTCAATATTTAAGAAAACGAAGCTATTTATTCTTTCTACATGAAGTATTTGTGAAATAAAATATTTGAAAGGTTAAAAGAGAAAATTAGTCTGGAGGGACTGAATTCAAGCTTCAACTTTTAAAATGCTGATTTTGATTTAAATTTCATTTATATTATTAGAATAACTAATTTCAATTCTATTTTGTTCAAAGAATAACATCTAAGTAAAATGAATATTTTGTAATATATACTATTATCTGATTTTTTTATTCTATTCAGATGTTTTTTCTTTATAGTTGTGCTTTCCTAATAGTTATGGCAAATGATGGTTGTACCTAGTTAATTAAATTTTAATGATCTCTCCGTTTCATTATATTTAACACTTCTACTGAATTAATAATAGTAAATATAAATAAAAATATAGGAAAACTCTAAAGAGTGATCAATTTCTGCATATCACAATATGATATCTATTAATATTAAATTAAAAAAATCAAAGAATTAAGGAAAATTAATTGGCATCTAAGAGAGAAGATGAAATTTTGCATTTATTTTTGCAGTAAATAATAAAAAACTCAGATAATAATATTATCTTGTAATTGTTGTTGATATTTTACTTAATAGTTTATTTATTAATTTGATAGAATAATCAATAAAAGCTGCATTTCATTCTATCAATCTATAATAATAGAACCAATATTTCTAATTCAGATTCTCTAAATTTATTTGAATATGATACAAAAGAAATAACAGTTACATCAGAATGATTCAATAGCCTTATTAATAATATCTAAATAACTATGATCATTGATCAATTAGACAAAAGGCTGTTTGATAGATTAGGATCTCTAGATAAAAAACCTATTGGATGTTCACCTTGAATAAAAGCAACTTCTAAAAGTGAGAAGTTATTTGTAAAAAATTGAATATTTATTATTCTTTATAACATATATGAAAAAGAATAGCTTTTAGAATGTATTTGGAGAGCAACTTTATTCATTATTATATCCGTATTTTCAGTAAAATAATTCAAAAATAATATATTGAATATATGGATGTTAAGGATCTAATTAGCATTTAATTTAACATATTTTTCAATCTTCAAATGATAATTTATTAGATTGAGAATCCAATTAAAAGTCTATATTACAATTTAGACTTAATTAAGTGTTTGATTTTGAACAAAAGTAAATATTTTTTTAATTATATAAAATATTATTCTAAGACTTTAATACAAATATTTATATTCTAAAAGTAGTACTTATTATAATCAGTTTTCAATGTTAGTCGAAATAAAAAGCAAACTTGATGATGGAAATTTAAAGGTGTACTCTTGTTAAAAATTACATAAATACTTTTGATGAAACAATTAATTATGTTTATACATTTGATCTTAGTTGTGTGAGACAATATAATATACTACTAACTTCGAATCCATTTTAACAAGTAACCCATATAGAATTTACAGCAATAACAGAAAAACCTGGCGTACATTTATCACAAATTGAAGCATCAGTACAAACAATACAGTTATATAAACGATGCACTCATAAGTCATTAGCTTAAAATTATCCTTGATCACAACTCCAAGTTAATAAATCTTATTAAAGTATTCTTATATTAGCAGTTAAATTAAGGTAGAATACAAAAATGGAAATTAAAATAAATAAATACCAGAGTTAAATTATTTATTTTCTTGTTAATTTGTAAATTTAGGAAAAAATTGTTTGTATTATTTATTGAATATTGATGTAAACATAATAGTATAATTACAATAATAATAAAATATAAAAAAATAAAAAAAGGAGTAATGATCATAACTGAGGAAATTTATTAACAAATGATATTTAATGTTTTTAGATTGAGATCTGAAAGAAACAGTGCATGATTGGTTTCATAGAAATCTACCAAAAATTGTTATCGTATATTGAAAAAGATGCCATCTAATTGCAATTAATCTCATTATTAATTGTCCATTTAAGATTAAGAAAAATGAAATATATATAAAAATGCCTTCATATCAGAATCCATATTTCTCAAGGAAATATTTTAGTGGTTTTTATTTCTATTTAAAAATAAATCATTTTTTCATTCCTTTCTTGAATCGCTAAAGGTTTTGTTAAATGTTTTAAGAAAAATTAATAAGATTTAAGATTTGAAAATTTATTAGAAATAGGATAACAGACTTTAATAGTTAATTCTAATCATTCCCAACCGAAGGTGAAATTATTAATTTGATTTAACTGAAATTTTTAGTGACCGTAGCTTTACCTGCAAAATTCAACCTTAAGTTCCATATGTTGAATTAATAAATAAGTATNCTATGATCATTGATCAATTAGACAAAAGGCTGTTTGATAGATTAGGATCTCTAGATAAAAAACCTATTGGATGTTCACCTTGAATAAAAGCAACTTCTAAAAGTGAGAAGTTATTTGTAAAAAATTGAATATTTATTATTCTTTATAACATATATGAAAAAGAATAGCTTTTAGAATGTATTTGGAGAGCAACTTTATTCATTATTATATCCGTATTTTCAGTAAAATAATTCAAAAATAATATATTGAATATATGGATGTTAAGGATCTAATTAGCATTTAATTTAACATATTTTTCAATCTTCAAATGATAATTTATTAGATTGAGAATCCAATTAAAAGTCTATATTACAATTTAGACTTAATTAAGTGTTTGATTTTGAACAAAAGTAAATATTTTTTTAATTATATAAAATATTATTCTAAGACTTTAATACAAATATTTATATTCTAAAAGTAGTACTTATTATAATCAGTTTTCAATGTTAGTCGAAATAAAAAGCAAACTTGATGATGGAAATTTAAAGGTGTACTCTTGTTAAAAATTACATAAATACTTTTGATGAAACAATTAATTATGTTTATACATTTGATCTTAGTTGTGTGAGACAATATAATATACTACTAACTTCGAATCCATTTTAACAAGTAACCCATATAGAATTTACAGCAATAACAGAAAAACCTGGCGTACATTTATCACAAATTGAAGCATCAGTACAAACAATACAGTTATATAAACGATGCACTCATAAGTCATTAGCTTAAAATTATCCTTGATCACAACTCCAAGTTAATAAATCTTATTAAAGTATTCTTATATTAGCAGTTAAATTAAGGTAGAATACAAAAATGGAAATTAAAATAAATAAATACCAGAGTTAAATTATTTATTTTCTTGTTAATTTGTAAATTTAGGAAAAAATTGTTTGTATTATTTATTGAATATTGATGTAAACATAATAGTATAATTACAATAATAATAAAATATAAAAAAATAAAAAAAGGAGTAATGATCATAACTGAGGAAATTTATTAACAAATGATATTTAATGTTTTTAGATTGAGATCTGAAAGAAACAGTGCATGATTGGTTTCATAGAAATCTACCAAAAATTGTTATCGTATATTGAAAAAGATGCCATCTAATTGCAATTAATCTCATTATTAATTGTCCATTTAAGATTAAGAAAAATGAAATATATATAAAAATGCCTTCATATCAGAATCCATATTTCTCAAGGAAATATTTTAGTGGTTTTTATTTCTATTTAAAAATAAATCATTTTTTCATTCCTTTCTTGAATCGCTAAAGGTTTTGTTAAATGTTTTAAGAAAAATTAATAAGATTTAAGATTTGAAAATTTATTAGAAATAGGATAACAGACTTTAATAGTTAATTCTAATCATTCCCAACCGAAGGTGAAATTATTAATTTGATTTAACTGAAATTTTTAGTGACCGTAGCTTTACCTGCAAAATTCAACCTTAAGTTCCATATGTTGAATTAATAAATAAGTATTACAAATGTATTCTACAAAAGATAGATGTAATATTAAAGATCTATATTAGAATTTTTTCATTAGCATCAAATAATACACATTTTTTCACTCTATCATAAGAAAATGAAGTTTTTATTTATGAATGGAAGAATTAAATTATTCATTAAATTAATAACCTATTCCTATTGATCCTACATTTAAATACTTAAATATAAATTTATTTTTAGGTTTTGAAATTTTACTTGATTGTTACAAGGATAGCTAATTATTCTTTTTTGTAAATAATTGACACATAACCAAAAATTGTTAATTAGTCTTAATCCTTTTTACCAATATCAGCAAAAATAAATACAATAGTTAATGGTTCAAATACTTTTTTAATATACGCTTAATATTTTCAGAATTATTCGATTCTCACACTAATTTTAGATAATTTAACAATTTAAGTTGGTACTCTAATTAATTTAATGATTTTGATACTCCTTTAATTATAACTTTCAACTTTAACACAAGTGATGATAAAACAGTAATTTACTCATATAATATTTTATGAAAATTCTAAATAATACTCTTAATGTGATTATATTTGGTATGTTATAGTTAAGCTTACCTTTTTATTATACAGATGTTAATTAGTATTTTGGGTGTGAATACTCAATAATCTACAATAATGTAGGATTTGATGATTATTTTGATAATCGTCATTCATCTATTGAAAAGATAATATCATTTTAGCAATTTATAATATACTAGTTAAATATGGATATAATAAAATTGAGTTCAATAAATGATGTTATTTTCTAACTATAGCCGGAAATAAATCATTAATCCTAATTATATATCAATGTAGATACTGTCAAGACGAAATCTTTCTATAATTATATTAAATTGCAAATATATTATATATATATATAGTAGGATATAATCATTATTAGCTCATTATTTTACTATGCGAGTGAATCTGATAGAAGTTTTTTATAAATTGCATAAAATTTAATAGAAATTTAAATAAATGATTTATCTTTAAAAAGTCCCTAAAGCATTTATCCTGAAATTATTGTAATAGGACTCAGTGAAGATTATACCATCTACTTATTTAAAAAAAACTAAAATAGTTAAATTTTCCTTTTAATTTTCCGATTTTTTAGTAACTTATTAAAGCAGAATAATATTAATTCAAAAATAAGAAGTTTAAATAATGTCGTTAAATTTTACAAATAAATTTACTATAAATTAATAGTATATAAATTAACATTTTAAAAATATTGAGTTCATACCTACATAGATTGTTATAAATACATAAATTTTATCATCCTTTTTATTGATCAATAATGTTAAACCTGTAATTATAGTTTCAATAGATAAAAATAACTTGCCAATACCTATTAGTCTATTTTCAGCTGACATATCAATTAAATATATTAATTTAGTAAACTAATAACTGATTTTGTCTTATTTTTGTAACAATAATCAGAAAATCTGCTTTCAAGTTTGGATGTTAACAATTTACCCAAATTCTATTTTGTAAACAGATTATATAGTGTAAATTATAATAATCATATATTGGTATCATCTGATAACTTGTTTTTCTATATTACTTTTAGCAATCACACAGTATATATTTATAATCCTATATTACCATAACATATGAGTTGATATTATATGGTAGAGTTATCATCACCAATTTAACGTAATTGGGCATTTTATGACCACTATAACTGACAAAACTACTTTGATTAATCTATAATACTTTACGATAATAGTTTTTATCTACTTTCAGAAAATTCAGCTATTTAAATTTTTTTCAAAAAATGACGATTAAATCTTTAGTAATTCAACTCATTATCTATAAATTATTTATAATTATACTATTACCTTCATAATTAATTAAAATGTTAGTTGTAATTAATATAAGAATTTAGGTTTTAAAAAAAAAATCAAATATATATTACTCCTAATAACAGTGTTACTTTATATTTAAACTTCAAGATGCTTTAGCCTTAAATATTTAAAACTGTTCTAACCAAAGAAAATTTGAATTTTCAAGAAAACAATTANATCAATGTAGATAAATTAATTACCAAATTATTAAAATAATTATGATAAAAACTTCTTAAACTATAAATTAGCAATTGTTAAAATATATAGTGAAATTAGTGAAAAATTGTAATTAGTATAATTCATTTAAGAAGTTTTAACCAATATTCAATATATATATATATAGTAGGATATAATCATTATTAGCTCATTATTTTACTATGCGAGTGAATCTGATAGAAGTTTTTTATAAATTGCATAAAATTTAATAGAAATTTAAATAAATGATTTATCTTTAAAAAGTCCCTAAAGCATTTATCCTGAAATTATTGTAATAGGACTCAGTGAAGATTATACCATCTACTTATTTAAAAAAAACTAAAATAGTTAAATTTTCCTTTTAATTTTCCGATTTTTTAGTAACTTATTAAAGCAGAATAATATTAATTCAAAAATAAGAAGTTTAAATAATGTCGTTAAATTTTACAAATAAATTTACTATAAATTAATAGTATATAAATTAACATTTTAAAAATATTGAGTTCATACCTACATAGATTGTTATAAATACATAAATTTTATCATCCTTTTTATTGATCAATAATGTTAAACCTGTAATTATAGTTTCAATAGATAAAAATAACTTGCCAATACCTATTAGTCTATTTTCAGCTGACATATCAATTAAATATATTAATTTAGTAAACTAATAACTGATTTTGTCTTATTTTTGTAACAATAATCAGAAAATCTGCTTTCAAGTTTGGATGTTAACAATTTACCCAAATTCTATTTTGTAAACAGATTATATAGTGTAAATTATAATAATCATATATTGGTATCATCTGATAACTTGTTTTTCTATATTACTTTTAGCAATCACACAGTATATATTTATAATCCTATATTACCATAACATATGAGTTGATATTATATGGTAGAGTTATCATCACCAATTTAACGTAATTGGGCATTTTATGACCACTATAACTGACAAAACTACTTTGATTAATCTATAATACTTTACGATAATAGTTTTTATCTACTTTCAGAAAATTCAGCTATTTAAATTTTTTTCAAAAAATGACGATTAAATCTTTAGTAATTCAACTCATTATCTATAAATTATTTATAATTATACTATTACCTTCATAATTAATTAAAATGTTAGTTGTAATTAATATAAGAATTTAGGTTTTAAAAAAAAAATCAAATATATATTACTCCTAATAACAGTGTTACTTTATATTTAAACTTCAAGATGCTTTAGCCTTAAATATTTAAAACTGTTCTAACCAAAGAAAATTTGAATTTTCAAGAAAACAATTACACTTATCCTAAGAGTTTAATACTGAATAGATAAATAGATTATTGTGGATCAACAATTGATAATGAAACCTATATGTTAAACGAACTTTGTAGTTTAAGTTATTCTGCTCCTAATTCTAGCAATATACCAAATTCGTAAATTACCATCTAATCATTTCAATAAAAAATTAATTTTTTGCCTTTTAGAATAATTAATCCACTTCAATTTTCTATGACAACCTAACATAAGTTGCAAATTATAAGTATCCGAATCTAAATTTGAGCGATTATATAAAATCTACATCCAATAATTACACATTGTATCCAATTTGTTAAAATGGTTCAACTTAGTATGATCCAATTTTTTTTTTGATCAATATTGGCTGATTTTTCAGAATATTTAAAATAGTAGCTTATTTACATTAACAAATTTAACAAATCTTAATCAAACTTTTTTAATTATTTCAAAGTTACCCTGAATTTTAGATCGAATACTTATTTATGTTTTACAGTTAAAGGATTGCTTTACATATATAATAAATATCTTCAAGAAAATTTTATTATTCGTTCAAGGATTACTATAAAATATATAAATTCACTTAAGTGATCCTATGTACACATAATAAACTACCATTCAAGTTTCCATATATCCTAATTATTGGTTTATTTAATGGATATTTAGAATGAATAACATAAAAAGAGAGGGGATTAAAGCGCGATTAAGATATTTAATTGATAGAATAAACACTTTTGCCATTTGATTTTGATCATTAATTTTTAATATGCTGATAAGAATAATAAATAATTTGCAAGAATCTTGATCTGGAAATCTAAAACTGTTCTATGGTTATAAAATATCTTAAAATTTGATGTCTAATTCAAAAACACAATTATATTATGATATCATTTATTTATTAATGAGAATATCTTATTTTATCTTCAAATATCAAAACATAGCAAATGTATTTATTAATTCGAGGGATTCTTTTGGATTTTTTCTGATTTTAATTTATCTTATTTCTCAAGAGAAGCTATTGAATCTATCTGAATTAATGTTTAAAATTATTTTTTTTCACTTTTAAAATTTCTAGGATTATTGATTAATATAAACTCAGAGGAAAATTATGAATTTGAAGAATTAAAATATTTCATATTAATAATATTATTCAATTTTAGGATGCATTTTAAAATAATTTAAATTTATTTTCTAAAATATAACTTCCTTTCTATTTCAATAATTCTTATAAATCTGTATTTAAATGTGTTGAGAATTCTCCATTAAAAATAAACGCCCCTTATGCCTATAATATTGGATCTGAAGATATAAGTAGTTTGGTATAGGGAATAACTATATAAAATTGAAAGTATTACCAAACTTATCATTATTGAATAAAGAAAATGTTTTAATGGGATTCTGAAATTTGGTAGGAATTTCTTGACAAAATTTATCTAAATCCTAAATTTTTTATCCTTTTGCCATATCCCATAAACATATAGATCCATCATCACTACTTGATGCCAATATATTACAATTAGGCGAAAAGGATACTGACCTAACGCTGGAACTATGACCAAATAACTATGATATTAGTTGTCTTGTTTTAACATCCCATAAGCAGATTGACAAATCCTTACTACCAGATGCCAATTTAGTAGAATCTGGATAAAAGCAGATTGAATTCACACCTTGAGTGTGACCTTCAAATTTTGATTTTTATATGGCTGTTTTAACATCCCAAAGAATGATTAAATTATCAAAACTACCAGATGCTAATAGAGTACCATTTGGTGAAAAGCATACCGAAGACACACAATCACTATGACCATTTAATTAATCATTTTATTGGCTAGTTTTAACATCCCAGATGCAGAAAGAATTATCCCAACTACCAGATGCTAAATAAGAACCATCAGGAGAAAAGCATATTGAATTAACACAATAAAGATGGCCATTTAATTAAGATTTTTGTTGCCCAGTTTAAACATCCCATAAAAGGATAGATGTATCGTAACCACCTGATGCTAATTATGTGCTATCAGGAGAGAAACAAATTTAATTGATATTTCCATCATGACCTTCAAATTTATATAAGCATTTTCCTGTTTTTGCCTCCATAAGAAAAATAAAAGAATAATCACTAACTATTGCTAACATTAACCCATCAGGAGAAAAAGTTATAGTATTAAAAAAGTTATTATGCCCTTTTAATAAAGATTTTAAGTTTCCTGTATTAACATCCCATTAATATATATAATTGTCATCGCAGACAGATGCTAAAGAAGGACTATCTGGAGAAAAACACACTTGCCAAACTCTATCACTATTTTTATTGATTGAAAATTTTGGACTTACTGTTTTTACATCCCAGAAACGTATAGACTTATCGTAACTACCAGATGCTAATGTAGAACCATCAGGAGAAAAGCAGATTGAACATACTGATTAAGTGTGACCATTTAATTCAAATTTGAGTTTTCCTGTTTTAACATCCCATAAACGGATAGAGTTATCACTACTACCAGATGCTAATATAAAGGAATCAGGAGAAAAGCAGATTGAACATACTGATTAAGTGTGACCATTTAATTCAAATTTGAGTTTTCCTGTTTTAACATCCCATAAACGGATAGAGTTATCACTACTACCAGATGCTAATGTAAAGGAATCAGGAGAAAAGCAGATTAAAGTGACAGTTTGAGGGTGACAAATTAATTCAAATTTTATTTTTCCTGTTTTAACATCCCATAAACGAATAGAGTTTTAGTCATTTGAAGCGAATGTCGTACCATCTTGAGAAAACCATATTGACTTTACATTATTAGTGTGACCATTTAGTTTAAATTTTTGTTTTCTTGTGATTATATCCCATAAAAAAATAGAGTTCCCCTCACTCGATGCCAATATTGCGCCATCAGGAGAAAAGCAAATTTAATTTGCCCCTTAAGTCAAACCATTTAATTCAAATTTTAGTTTTCCTGTTTTAACATCCCATATTTGAATAGATATGGATCCATTCGATGCCAATATAGTTCCATCTGGGGAAAAGCACATTACATTTGCAGTTTTAGCTTGATTTTCTAATTAAAATTTTTCTTTTCCGGTTTATACATCCCATATCCGGAGAGATCAATCATAAGACATCAATGTCTTGCTATCTGGAAAAAATTAGATGAAAACGCCACAATAATAATTTAATTGGGTATTATTTTCAATTGCTTTAGAGTCGTATAATAGGATGGAACTATCCACACCATTTAATGATAATTTACTACCATCAGGAGAATAGCAAATTGAGTTGATTGAATTATTGCAATATAATTGTGCTTTTATTTATCCTGTTTTAACCTCCCATAAACACATAAAAACTTCATCACCACCAGATGCTAATGTCGTACGATCAGGAGAAAAGCATAAGGACTTCACATAATTACCATGACCCTTTAATGAAAAAAAATTTTTTCTTGTTTTGATATTCCACATAAGGATACTATAAGAACCTGAAACTAATATAGTACCATCTAGAGAGAAGCATAAGGATGCGATTTCTCCTTCATCACATCTTAATTTAAATTTTTTCTTTCCAGTTTTAACATCCCATAAATAAATCATTCTATCTTCACCACCAGATGCTAAAGTAGTACCTTCTGGAGAAAAGCATACTGATTAAACATAACGATCATGGCCACACAATTCAAATTTTTGTTATCTTCTTTCAACATCCCAAATAATAATTAATTTAATATAATTAAATGCTAAGGTAGTACCGTTTGGTGAATAGCATATTACTTAACCATTATAATTCAATTTAGATAATATTTTTCCTCTTTTTGTATCCCATATATTGATATAATCTCCATATGTTGCTAAGTTTGAACTATTTGGTGAAAAGCAAACAGAAGTTATCCTACTACTATAAAATAAAGATAATGTTTTTCCTCTCTTAATATCCCATATACGAATAGATGTGTCTCTATCACAAGATACTAACTAGTTCCATTTGGTGAAAAGGATAATTATTTGACCTAAGAAAGATGGCCCTTCAAATGATGCAATTAATCAACTCTTATATTTTACCATTTACAATGAAATAGTTTTGCACAATTTAAATTTATTCCGCTAATATTTACATTATCAAATTCAGATCCACTTAAATCGCACCTAACAAAATTGGCTCGAACTAAAGAAGTGTTTGAAATCTTAATATTTTCAAAATTTTTTTAACTAAGATCTACATTCATCTAAACTAATAAATGTAAGGAATTAGACCCGCATTTTATTAAAGAATTATCTATGGATGTGAGATGAACTAAAAATAACAAAAATTCTATCATCATGATTGTAATTAGTTACCTTATAGATTAATAAATTTTTTCATCAGAATAGTCTTTTTTATTGAAGTCATGATTTTTTATTTTTTTTAAGCCATCAGTAATTTATTTCATTTAATTTCTAAAATTATACAATTTCTATTCCATCTCAACTAATGCCAAATTAAATTTTTGTAAGAATTATTATTCTAACTGTTTTTGATTTCCATTATCTGAAAGATATCCAATGCAGTCTTAAACTTTTTCTTTTCGAAAAGTTTTTAATATGAAACCAAAAATTTGTTCATTTCCATCTTTGACTTAAGCAAAGATGTCAACTAAAGCTTCCTTCTGTTAAAAGAGTCCATCATTTTTTTTTTTTTATAATATTGAATTTCTATTACTTTAACTTTAAGTTTTATACTGCTTAATTAATTTAAAGTGTCTTCTATGTAAGATTTTATGAAGATTTTGTTTTGATTATAATTGAGGTAAAATTTGTTATTTAGAATTCAATTCTACATATAAATTTAATGATTCTGTAATAATATAAAATAAATTATTTGAAGTTAATAATGGTGACCATGCCTTAACATTTTGATGATCTGTTGTTAAAGTGAAGCTTATTTTTCTTGATAATTGAAGTGGAAATATCTTTTTAAAAAATATTTATAAATGTATAATCAGTCTTGATAAATAATAGATATTTAAAAGAGAAATTATTGTAGAAAATAATAGGTGATTATAAGGTAGTGAATATATTTGTTTTCTATTTCCCTTTACAATATTATCCTCTTTACTTTCAATAGAAAATTAATAATGCTCTAAGTTTGCTCATTTTTGAGAAATAGAATTGTTAAGAAGAATGGTTTAATTTGAATTCTATTTAATAATTTATATGGCTGAAAAGATTTAATTCATTTCTCCTATTTTTATAAAATATGTGAAAAAGTAATAATATTGCTAAATGATATTTAAAATAAAACCTTTTTCGATATAGGCATGTATATAATTTGAATGCAAAATAAGCCTATGTCGATTGTCAACCAAAGCGTTTAATTTCATTTTTATATTAAGAAACTTGAAAATTTGTATTTTATAATTAGTTAAGCTAATCAAAGAAGACTAGATATTCATTTATTTCTAAATAATATCTTCTTGCTTATTTTTCCTTAAGAACATATTTTTTCAAATCATTATATTCAAATATAGAATAAATTTTGGCTCAAGGAGAACACTAGGCTTAACCCTTCCCTTACTCCATTTGGAGAAGATGATGAAACCTTTAATACGTTAGAAGTATAATCCCATACTAATTATAAGAACTTTAGTTTGAAAAAAGTTCCATCATTAAAGAATAATAAATAATTTTTTGGATATTAAATTATTTTTATGATAACTCTAAATCATGAAGTTAAAATAACTTTTATTTATTTAGGACTGAAAATTATTTATCATCCTTAATTATGAAAATCGATGAAAAATGAACAGCATTATTGGAAAATTGATGAATTTTAATTTTGTAATTATAGACATACACATAATACAAGATATTATCGATTTCCTACTTGTTTATCTGTTTTTTATATAGATAATTCTTCAATTAATCTAATATCGAACAAGTTAATTCATTTATTGACATGAAAAACTAAAGTATTTTACCACTATCAACTAACAATTTTGGGAATGTATAACAATACTAATTTTTGATTCCTATTTCTTCTTCTTCAATTTTTTCAAAAGATTTTTTTTAAATTAATTAATATGAATAAATTTTCGGTGATTTCTTAATGAATTTCAAAAACTTTTAATGATGAGTTCATAAAAGATGTATTTTAGCCTAGATATTAATTTCCCTTTAAAATCATCTTGAAGTTAATGATTATATAGTTTTATGCATCTATAAAAGCTGAATACAATATTTCAGTGAATTATAAATGTTTAGAGTATTTGATAGTTATTAGGAAAGAAATAATTGTCTTAAATCTTAATCCTTTCAATTATCTCATACTTTTTCATGATTAAAATATCTTATAGTCTATTTTAATTTCTTATACTATTAATTAACAGATAATTACAAAGGTTATTAAAATATNTATTTAAAAGAGAAATTATTGTAGAAAATAATAGGTGATTATAAGGTAGTGAATATATTTGTTTTCTATTTCCCTTTACAATATTATCCTCTTTACTTTCAATAGAAAATTAATAATGCTCTAAGTTTGCTCATTTTTGAGAAATAGAATTGTTAAGAAGAATGGTTTAATTTGAATTCTATTTAATAATTTATATGGCTGAAAAGATTTAATTCATTTCTCCTATTTTTATAAAATATGTGAAAAAGTAATAATATTGCTAAATGATATTTAAAATAAAACCTTTTTCGATATAGGCATGTATATAATTTGAATGCAAAATAAGCCTATGTCGATTGTCAACCAAAGCGTTTAATTTCATTTTTATATTAAGAAACTTGAAAATTTGTATTTTATAATTAGTTAAGCTAATCAAAGAAGACTAGATATTCATTTATTTCTAAATAATATCTTCTTGCTTATTTTTCCTTAAGAACATATTTTTTCAAATCATTATATTCAAATATAGAATAAATTTTGGCTCAAGGAGAACACTAGGCTTAACCCTTCCCTTACTCCATTTGGAGAAGATGATGAAACCTTTAATACGTTAGAAGTATAATCCCATACTAATTATAAGAACTTTAGTTTGAAAAAAGTTCCATCATTAAAGAATAATAAATAATTTTTTGGATATTAAATTATTTTTATGATAACTCTAAATCATGAAGTTAAAATAACTTTTATTTATTTAGGACTGAAAATTATTTATCATCCTTAATTATGAAAATCGATGAAAAATGAACAGCATTATTGGAAAATTGATGAATTTTAATTTTGTAATTATAGACATACACATAATACAAGATATTATCGATTTCCTACTTGTTTATCTGTTTTTTATATAGATAATTCTTCAATTAATCTAATATCGAACAAGTTAATTCATTTATTGACATGAAAAACTAAAGTATTTTACCACTATCAACTAACAATTTTGGGAATGTATAACAATACTAATTTTTGATTCCTATTTCTTCTTCTTCAATTTTTTCAAAAGATTTTTTTTAAATTAATTAATATGAATAAATTTTCGGTGATTTCTTAATGAATTTCAAAAACTTTTAATGATGAGTTCATAAAAGATGTATTTTAGCCTAGATATTAATTTCCCTTTAAAATCATCTTGAAGTTAATGATTATATAGTTTTATGCATCTATAAAAGCTGAATACAATATTTCAGTGAATTATAAATGTTTAGAGTATTTGATAGTTATTAGGAAAGAAATAATTGTCTTAAATCTTAATCCTTTCAATTATCTCATACTTTTTCATGATTAAAATATCTTATAGTCTATTTTAATTTCTTATACTATTAATTAACAGATAATTACAAAGGTTATTAAAATATTAACAAACATAAAGTAATTTTTATAACTCAATCTGTTTTTAAACTATGTTATAGTTTAGGTTATTTCTAATATTAACTTCATTTTTCTTTAATTCTTGATGTATCTTTTTTCTTATCTTTGTTATTAATTGTATCTTTTCCTATTTATAAACTAATTTTACAAAATTACTAATAATTATTTTTAAGATTAATCCCACTTATAATTAGTAATAAATTAAGTAAATCTATGATAATATCTTAGATGATTAGATGAGCCTGCATTTTTGTTACTTTATTTTAATCTCTTCATTGTGCTTACTGTTCTCTCTTTAGATTATTAATGTAATGTAGTAGCATTTAAATTTAAATCTCTCAAAATATTAAATGATTAAAGTTTTTATGATATCTCCATAAATATTTCCTCGACTAAACTGACCGTATATTTTAATAGTATTTAAGTAAAGGATGTGTACATATAATTGTAATGGAATAATACTTTGGAAAATCATCTGAAGAAGTGAAAATTAAAAGCTTAACTGATAAAGACGTATATAAAAAATAATCGAAATCAAATCACTTTTACTTAAAATCTTCCAAAAAGAAACTTCCTTTTTGTAAAAAAATGTCTTTAAATCTATACCTGATTGATTTATAAACTCTCCTTTCAAAATAAGCGCTCCTTAAGCTTAGAATAATGCCTATGAAGATATAATGAGTTTAGTGATCTAATTGGAAACTAAAAATATAAAAAAATTAATATTATCTTCTGATATAGGACTATTTTATTGTAGTGGAATCTTAAATTATTTTAAAAGATCTTTGTAATATGGATCAGAGGAATTAATTTCTTATCCTGTTTTGACTTTCCAAAGACGGATAGACTAATCCTTACTACCAGAATTTAATGTATTTCTATCAGGAGAGAAATTTACTGATCTAAAATTCCTTGTATGACCATCCAATTTGGCTTATTATTATCCTGATTTGACATCCCATTGACGGATAGAGTTATCAAAACTACAAGATGCTAATGTATTTCCATCAGGAGAGATACAGACTGATATAATTTCTTTAGTATGACCATCTAATTTGGCTTGTTATTATCTTTTTTTTAACATTCCATTAATAAATAGAATGTTAAAAAAAGATAATAACAGCCAGATGCCTATATTTTACCATCTGTAGAAAAGCAAATTTATAGAAAGACATGGCTATATTTATCTATTATAGTTCTGTATTGTGTTGTTTTAACATCTATTTGCTAGAAGATGCTAGTGTAGAACTATCAGGAGAGAAGTATATTGAATTTATATAAGTATTATGAAAATTGAATTTGGCTGTTTATTAACCTTACTAGATGATAATTTCTTACCATCAGGTGAAAAACATACTGAATTTACTTCACTACTATGATCATCTAATTTCGCTTTTTATTGACCTCTCTTTATATCCTATAATCGAATAAATAAATCTGCACTTCCAGATGATAACGTAATATCATCAGATGAAAAGCTTACTGAATTTACATTACTTCTATGAGCATCTATTTAATGTAATTCATGTATTTTCATTTTATTCAATGTACAATTAAATAACTACGCTCCATTCAAATTTATTCCTCTAATATCTAAATTTTCAAATTGAGATCCGCTCAAATTACTTCCAACAAAATTAGCACCAAACTAATGATGTAGTTTTAATTTTAATATTTTAATAAATTTCCCCTCAGATCTACATTCATTTCCACTAAAAAATTAAGTTAATTTTAACCACATTAAATAAATCTGCCATCTAAACTTGTGAGTTGAACTAGAAATTATAAAAATGCAAAGATCTTCTGATATTTTTAAATTAGTTCTAATTTAATTATTCGGTTCTTTGTTAGGAATAATTATTCTTACTACAATCATGATCTATTATTTTTTGACAACTATAGCAATTTTCTAAATGTTAAATTTAATATCATAAAGCAACTTTTCCAAAATGAAAATTTTATTTTTGATTTATTAAATTATTATTCGATAAGCCTCTGATTTTCATCTTTTAAAAGAAAGGTAGTCTTCGATTATTTTCTCTTTTTTTCTTTTGAACATTTCAAATGCGACATAGAAGAATTTATAATTGACAACTTCTAATTCGGCTAATATCTCATAAATCTTCTTTCTGCTGAGAATATCGATCCATTTTATTTTTTAAATATTGATTTTCTATTAATCTACTATCGGCTTTATATTAAAAATATAAAAAAATAAAAAATATATTTTCAAAGAAGGAAGACCATAGATTGTCTAAATGTATAGTTGTTTGTAATTGTTGTTAAATCGCTAAGCGGGAATTCAATTCAAATAATGCATTTCTTGATTCTTAAAGAATATATTATCAATATTTTATATTAATACACAAATTATCAATAATTATAT